ACTGAAGGGTCCCGGGTTTGATTCCGGTTGGGGACACATGTCAGGGTTTCGGGCTCGATGCCCAGTAGGGGATGTGCAGGAGGCAGCCGATCCATGATTCTCTCTCATCCTTGATGTTTCTCTCTCTCTCTCTCCCTGTCCCTTATTTTTTCCCTTAAATTTATATATTTATACATTTTTATAAAATTTATTTGTAAATTCTATTGATCTCAGAGAGGAAGGGGGAGGTAGAGAGAGATAGAAACATCAATGATGAGAGAGAATCATGGACCGGCTGCCTCCTGCACGCCCCACACTGGGGATGGAGCCTGCAACCCCGGGCCTGTGCCCTGACCGGGACTCGAACCGTGACCTCCTGGTTCATAGGTGGACGCTCAATCACTGAGCCCCGCGGGCCGGGCTAGAGATGTTTCCTGGGGACTTTGAATCCATTTCTTCTCCTTGAAATTTACAGACTAAGGGGTTTCTCTAGGCGAATGGCTGCAGGGACATGGGGACCAATCCGGCCCGAGGGCACTCAGTAACCGCCTTTGCACCTTCCAGGGCCCGCAGACGCGCGATGAGTCCCGCAGGCCTGGGCCTCAGGGCCGCCCTGCTCTGCCTCCTGGCCTGGGCCGGCCTGCCTGCCGCCGACCGGCTCTACATCCACCCCTTCCACATGCTCGTCTACAGCAAGAGCAGCTGCGATCAGCTGGAGAAGCCCAGCGGGGAGGCACCCCCGGACCCCACCTTCACGCCTGTCCCCATCCAGGCCAAGACGTCCCCGGTGGACGAGGAGGCGCTGAGGGACCAGCTGGTGCTGGCTGCCCAGAAGCTCCAGGGTGAGGACAAGATGCGGGTGGCCACGGTGGGCATGCTGCTCAACTTCATGGGCTTCCGCATGTACAAGACGCTGACCGAGACGCAGGCCGCGGCCGGCGGGGCCATCTTCTCCCCGACGGCGCTCTTCGGCACCCTGACCTCCTTCTACCTGGGGGCCCTGGACCCCACGGCGGGCCGGCTGCAGGCGTTCC